TAACCTTTTTACGAATTTATTTGACGATTTTTGATTTATATCACGAATTATACTATAGCACATTTCTAATAGGTTTAACGAATTACATGTCATTTATTTGAATTCAAATTTATTTTAATGACTTAGTATTTACTAAAAAGATGTAACTTTTTTTAAAAAAAAGTTTTTATATGGATTTGAATGATTGTTTTGAATTCTTAGAATTTTGTGCATTTGCAATGTACCGAGCGAATGGAGTAGCAAGCGAAGCGAGCTTTGTTTGCGAAGCAAACAATATAAGATTGAGTAGCAATTTTCGGGGGTTGGCGAGCGTTAGCGAGCAGGGGACGCAGCCCACTAGTTACAAATAATATAAAATGCCAAGAACAGAACAGTTCTTTTAAAAATAATAAAAAGGAAATTTTGATTATAATATCCAAAGAAAGAAAGAAAGAAGGAAGTTTTAACAAATAATTTAGTATCCGACGGGATGACAGAAAACATTTCATAATTTAATATAATGGGGTAAATTTAGTTATGATGAAGAATATTCCACACGTTAGGCCCTTCTTTTCATGTAACAATAATGTGAGAAATGATAGAAATATCTAAAGAGAAAATTAAAATAAATCTAAACTTTCTTATATTAGATACTGTTTTAAAATCCAAACAAAAGAAAAATCACAATTCCATGATTTTACAGGGTGTCTCGTACCCTTATGAAAAATGAAAAAAAGAAATATATCAAATTTTGATCGCAAATTTGTATTTTACTGCAGAAAATCAAAAACTCTTTCAAAATGTGAGAAATCGTGGTATACACTTTAAAAAAATGAATTCTAAAATATCACGAAATGTTATTCTTTTTTGACGAAACCGTTTCTTGGTGTATGCTCATTGCAAATTTTTTGTCCAAGTGACGACATAACTATTGTCACATCGTCGAGGAAACAAATTTCGTTAAAGTTACTTATTTTGTCAATCTATTTTTTATAAAAAATAAAAAAAAACTTGTAGTGCCTACATTTTCGAATAATCACTTTATCATGGGCACCGCATAGGTATATAAATGTCGCCGTAAGAACATAAAAAGAACAGACAGAGCAGATACATAAATTACTCACAAGCCCAATGTGGGATTCGATCCCGGGAGCTTCCTGGTATGAGACCAACTTCTTGACCACCAAACAGTCTAGACGGCTTGCTTGATCACTTTAGTTTTTATAGTCTCGTTTTCATTATAGTTTCGTTATTAAGACTAATCTCCCACAATGTATTACGATGAGGTTTCGAGTTGAAACATTTTCGTCTTACATTTGAGAAAATGCGTTTCGTCCTAAATCACGTGATTTCGTGACGAAATTATTCTGAAACTTAACGAAACATAGCTCAAGTATTGCTGAATCGTCAAAAGGGAAAATTTTGTTTCTCAGAGTGCACGAAAGGGGGAGCAATAAAAAAGTTCGGCCATGGGAAGAATTTATTATTCTATCATTTATTATTCTAGAGGTCACGTTTATCATTACTTTGTAAGAGAAGATTTAAAAAAACAATACTTCTTACATACCTGTTTATCTGAGGCATAATTTCCTGAAATGCATTATAAAGTTGAAGAGGCAACCAACACACAGCGAACAACGTCACAACTATAAACATCATATGTATAACCTAAAATAAGGTGGAAAAACAATATTAAATTTTTTTATTGAAAATAATTTTTATCACAATTATTTTTAACAGATTTTAGATCTCAGCTTAAGTAACAGGTTTTGAAACAGAACAGGCATTTTTTAACAAATTTGCTGAATATATTCCGTAAGATCCTATTAAGTATATTGTATTTATATATATAAACTTAATTGGAACGGCACAGGTAGATTTCTAATTCGCTATTAAGAATGCGAATTATGAAGTAGTTTTTTTTTAATATTTTAAGTTACTTGTATATAGTAAAATAAATCATCAAGGATTGTAAAGATGGTCATTTAAATAATTTCATTAATACATATAAGTCACTGGCAATTAAATTTACATTTAATATTTTTTTCGTAACATCATTAAGAATTATCACTAAATTTACGAAAACAGAGGCATCTAAAGAAAGAAATCATTTTTTAAAGAATAATTTAAAGATTTCTTCGAACTGTTGATTTGAGCATTTTAAAAATTTAAATAATACACCAGTACAGTGCACCAAATAAATAAACGAAATAATATTTGATCTGATAATCGGATTTTTGCGCAATAAGACTCACTCTTCGGTGTTCGAAAGTTAAATCTTAAACATATTAACTAAATATATAAGTAAAAAGAAACTAATTAACTAATGCAGACAGTATATTAAAATGCGAAATTAAAGCAAATTTTTTTATGAAATACTTTCCCAACCATGGTGTTAGGATTCAGTCACAGTTCCAGGCGCAATTACATTATTTTAAAATCACGCATTTTCGGGATGTCCTCACTTTTTATCAAGGGTTTCTGAAAGGGAATTGGTCAAGAGATTTTCTTCAATGTAATCAAACGTCATCTATCTCGATTCCCATTAACGCGTGACACCATATAGCCAATAGGGAACTTTTGGTATTTCTTAATGAGAATATTTCACGAATTTTTATCCATAAACTTCAGAAAATATTCTTTTAATTGGAATATTGAATTCATGGCTCTTGTCACTTCTTTTGACTCACATATGAGAATATATTTTAAGCTGTGATTAAAAATTCTTTGGAACATTCTAGAACTCAAAAATTATAGATATTCATATTCATAATTTATGTATATTTTAAAAAAGAGGAATAAAACCTTAACAAATAATAATTGTTATGTCGTAGTCTAAATTTAAAACTAAACTAGCTGAAAAACAATAATTCTCGTCTCTGTGCTAATGTTGTTAAGTAGTGGTGAAACGGTTTTATATTATTTACAGCTAATCTCTTTGTAATTTACGCAATTTTCTACCATTTTATGCTTTCTACTATTTTATACTATATGTATTTTAATCTTGTTAAAAGTTTGATCACTTAATTTAGTGCTTTCTTCCGAGGTTGTTAAAAATAACTATTATATCTGTGTTTATTTAGATATTTTTTCTTTAAGAAGAATTATCCACTGCGAGTTCCTAGCTGTTTGGCAGTCCCCAGATCTTTCTTAAACTTTATTATCTTTAACAGGAAACCTTGGGGACGTTAACATTTGCTACAGAATCCGTATAAATCTTACCTTACTTTTTGATTACCTTATAGTATATTATATATTATTCATTTTCGTTTCGTGTCTTTGGGGCATTATGAATCTTTTTCGTACGGTACCTGCACAGGAAATATACTACCATAAGTCATTTCTGCTTTCTGTCTTATTGGTATATTATTGCTCCTTGAAAGTAATTTAGTTGAAAAGGATAAATAATGAGAAACGTGAATATATGATCAATATAAATCGGCTGGCAACCTAGAGAAAGCGGTAAAACGCTGTTGAAGTTTATTTATTCGTAGTCTATTTTTAAATGGATATGTTTTACTTATTGAATTCTTTACGTTTAGTTTCTTTTTATCATGAATTCATTTTGTTTATCAATAAATTTCTCCATTGCTCTTAAAAATAAGTTTAAAATTGAACCTTAAAAACCGATAATTTAAACCATTCTATTGTGCAACGTTTTTGAAATTTTAATAGGTTAAGTTGAAATTGCACTCATGGACAAAAAAAATTAGCCCACCAAGAAGGAGTCGTCGAAATGAAGCGAAATTTTACATACCTAATGATTACTTTGATATAAGTAAATGATTAGAAAATCAAAGAAAAACGATAATCTTTGATTTTTCTAATCATTTACTTATATCAAAGTAGTCATTACGTATGTAAAACTTCGTTTCATTTTGACGACTCCTTCTTGGTGCGTTAATTTTCTTGACCATGAGTGTATTTTCCGCAAACCTACAACATATTGTTAAAATGTGATAGTTTTATTAAAATAGTGTGATTTTATTTTTTTGTTTTACTTTTTTTACTTAAACTATGTCTCAAGATTCTGTACAATTATTTTTATTTACGCTTCTAAATTTATTTCAAATCAATACTTTTTTAAATAGTAATAATTATCTAACTTTCTAGCCTGTTAAGTTATAGCCTGCGTACTAGCATTTAAAAATACCAATATTTTCACATATTTTGTTGGCCAATTGTTCGAAATGAAGAATGCTAATTTATTTGAAAAAAGTATCTGTGTTAAATCTGATTCTGTAACTGACAATATCGTCAACGCTTAATAAATAGCATATTTAGGGCAAAGATCCTCAAACAATTAAGATTGTGTTGTGTTCTTGTGTTCTAGGGTGCGGAAATTCAATCATTCGATTAAAAGTTATTCAGAGAAACTATATATCTGCCACTCTGTATCTTTTTGTAGAATCGAATGAAACTAAGCACGCGTGTATAAACAAATAATTTGGATTTTCAGTATTTTTAAAAAATAAAAGTTATTTCTGACTTGAATTAATTTAAATTTTTGATATTGCTATCTCGATTTCCTGTATTTTTTTTCTCTAAATTAAATAAATCAATTCCAGATCAATAGAGCTGTTAGAGTAAGAGGTAACAAGGGTTGTTTTCGGAAACGTTTTTCTGTCTTTTTATAAAAAGTGAGAGCTGAAAAAAATCAGAAGTTTTTATAAAAAGTTTATTTATCAACAATTTTACAAAATTTCTTCAGTCAAAGTATTCTATATTGCTCTGAAGCACAAGTCATGTCTTTTCCCTCTTATTTGAAGCATCTTTGGAACTTTAAAGCTTCGATATCGTCCAGTGCCTTTTGCGAAGCTGTTTTTACCGTCTCCACATCATAAAAACGCTTTTTTTTTAGATATTTTTCCTTCTCGAAAACAGGAAAACGTCACTAGGAGCCAGACCTGGCACTGGCAGAGAGTGGGGATTGACAGGTCATCCATGAGTTGCTAAATAATGGGTCACTATTTTGGCTGTGTTTGCTCGAGCAACCCATTTGCAAATCCTCAGTCAAACCACTCTGCCACGAGCTCCAACTCACCCCTGTCCCTTCAGAAACTTAGTAAAAAGAAAACGATAATCCTTGTTGATTTTTGGCGAAATGTTTCAACGATTTCATCGTTTCACGATGATGAAAGACACTGAAAGCGAGTATGGTCTTCAACGCTCATCTCACCATGTTTAAAGCACACAAAATCACTTAAAAACTTATGGCTGCTTGTAGCATTAACCGGTTGAAACATGAGGTAAGCTTTCGTTGCTCATATTTTAAGCGAGAAACAAAATTTTAATTCGCAGGTGGAAAAAATTAAAAGTAAGAGGAACACAATATCATCCTCAAACTTTAGCTTAAGAACTGATTCCGTCTGCTCGTACTCGTTTCGTGAAGATCTCTACTATTTCCGTGTAGCGGAAGCTACTACGACTGCAAATGATGTCGAGCGACTGCAAATAACGTCTTTATTTATCGGGAAGAAGGAGGTTCTTTCTTGTACTTAATTAAATGTAATCTGTGAAAAAATTCCTGGTCATATTATGGTAGAAAGTATCAGCACTCAGGGTTACCGTAAAATCTCTTTTCACAGGATGTTACGGAACAAACAAATCTGGTATACTGTAATTTATACAGTAATTATTACCGTAAAACCATCGAATCTCGCTATTTAAATAATTATTACTGTAAAATTCAGAGTACGGTTATTACAAAAATTACATTTTACAGTAAAAATGGGCTTCACGGATGATGCACCCAAAGTGCCGGTACTTTATACCTGATTTTTTACAGTGTAATTTCCCCTGCTCACTTCACTTATCAACCTATGACAGCAAATTATAGCTGAATCACTCAGAAAATGATTGAAATCAGCATTATCATATTATATGGAGCAACTGTTAAAATTTGAGAAATCTAGCTTGTCTGAAAGAGGTGGTCATTTCTATTTAAAATTCTATAGTTATAACAGCGAAAGCAAGTTAATAAAAACGTAGTAAAAATCCTACAAAAATAGATACAAGAAATTTGTCGACATGAAATCTTTTTTCGGATTCGAAATTTAAAGCACGTATCATCTAACTTCGAGCGGAAATATTTTCAGGAATGATACGCGCCGCATATGAAACATTTCCGAAGAGAATTTGAGTATAAATTTGTAGCAAAGGCATCGAAAAGCAATCCGAAATAAAGATTTATTTTGTTGATTGTGTATCAATTTGCTATGCTTGACAAAAATTACTTACAATAGTTGTTATGCTTTCTATGTAAGAAAAAGTTTTATATATGAATATATTATTTAATTCGCTTATTTATACCCCTTTTCTCCTCTCAAAATCAGAAGAGTAAAGGCTTAAGAGGAAAAGGTGAAGTATGTTATTATCATTTTATTCGGAATTACGAGCACTTTTAGAGCCGTTTAGGTGATGACTTGGTCGTTTTGCAGAGGTTAGCCAAATTTCAGTTCGTAATTTTATTTAATTAACTAAGTTTTCGAGTTGAAACGACAAGTTATTGTTTAAATTTTTTTCATATCTATATTATTACAGTATTAAAAAAATTACTGAGTCTGGATAGTCTGGTTAGTATTGCGCTGGACCAATGTCTAAGGGGTCGTGAGTTCGATCCTCCCCGGCCAAGGACTCTCCGTGTATTAAACTACGACTAGTGCATG